TGCCGGTGCCGGTGTCGGATCCGGCCCGCTCACCTGCCTGCGGAGGATGCTGGAGGTGGTGTCGGACGAGGTGCTGCCGTCCGAGCGCTTGAAGCGGCTCTTGCGCTTCGGGAGCCTCCGGGGGCTCTGCGGGGAGAGCGGCCGGTGAGCACCGGGCGGCACCGGGCGGTTACCGGGCGGCACCGGGCGGTTACCGGGCGGCGTGGCTCCGCCACGGCGCTGCCACCGGCGGCCCCCCTCGCTGCGGGAAGAACCGAACCGGGCCGCACCGGGCCCGCGACGGCCGGGAGGGCTCCGGTCCGCTCACCTGGAAGGAGCCGGGAGCATCAGGCTGCGCCGGGGCGGACATCCCCGGCGGCACCCACCGGAGCCCCCGGGATGCCGGCGGGGCCGCCCCGCACCGGACCGCGGCGCTCCGCCGGGAAGGGCCGCGCCGCCGCCGCCGCCACTGCCGCGCTCCGCATCACACGGGGCCGCCGGGGCGTCCCGGCCGTCCCCGCCCCCGCCTGCCCGCCCCCGCGCCCATCCCCGCGGCGGCCGGTCCGCGCCCCCGCAGCTGGGCAGCCACCGGAGGGCACCGGGAACGGACCCTCCCTGCAACCCGCAGTGCTGCGGGGACCGGCCGGGCGGTGCCGGCAAAGAGGAGCCCCCCCGGGGCCGCCGCAGCCGTGCCCACGCGTGTGCGGGGATGCGGGAGCCCCACCACCTGCATCCCACCGTGTTCTCCCGCTCGGGGTTTTTTGCCCCCCCCCGGGGGTATACACCACCCAGAGGGAGCACCTGCCCCCCCTAGACCTCCGCGTGGGGCAGGCGGAGCCGTGGGGAGAAGCAGCCCACCCACCCCACGCCCCGTGTCCCCGCCATGCCCACGGGGGCGGCCGGTTCCGGTGCTGCAGCATCACCGGACCGGAGCGACGGGCCGGGGGGGCCGCGGGAAAGGGGGTACCGAGAACCCCACGGAGCCCCAGCGTGGGCCCCCCCACCCCCCCGCGCGCCGGGACTTCCGCGTGGGGCCGCAGGGACACGGCCCCGCTGGCGGCTGCTAATTAATGATTAATCAGCGCTCCCCGGGGCCCGGCGCCGGAGCGGGGGGGGCTGCGGGGCCCGGCGCCGCCGCTGCGGGGGAGGGAAGGGGGGGCACGGAGGGGTCCGGGAACGGGGGAATGGGGGTGCCAAGGCCTGACCCACGCCCACTCGTGGGGTATAGGGCTGGGGGGCTGGCGGGGACCACGGTGAGGGGGTGCCCTGTGTGAACTGGGCACAGAGTGCTTGGAAATGGGGGGTGCGTCTGCAAGGGGCATGTGTGTGTAAGGGGGTCTGCGAGTGTGTAAGGGGGTGTGTGTGCAAGGGGGTGTGTGAAGGGGTGTATCGGCACTGTAGGGGTGTGTGTGTGTGTGTACAGGTGTGTGTGCAAGGTGCCTTTGTGTGTGTGTGTGTGTGTGCAAGGAGGGTGTGCATGAATCCCTGAGCGCACGCCAGGTGTGCCCAGGTGTGCGGGCACGGGGAATCCGGGCGTGTTTGTGTGCACACACACACACAGAGGGGTGCACGTGCGAGTGTGCAACGGGACTGCACGCGTGTGCAAGGGGGGGTGTGTGTGCAAAGGGATGTAAATGTGCAAGGAGGTGTAAATGTGCAAGGGGGTGTGAAGGTGCAGGGGTGTGGGGGTGTGTGTACAAGGGGTGTCTGCGTGTGCAAGGGGGGGGGATGCAAAACGCTTGTGCATCTGTGTGTGTGTGTGTGTGCAAGGCGGTGCGTGCTTGTGCACAGGGGTGTGTGTGCACGCCGGGGGCGCGCGTGGGGATGCGTGTTGCACATTGGGGTGCGCTGCGTGCGCGTGCAAGGGGGGGTGCGGAGATGCACGCGGGGCGGGTGTGCAAGGGGGAGACACGGGGGGACAGCGGGGTGGGTGTGCAAGCGGCACACTCAGAGAGGGGGGCTGTGCGGACACGGGGGGGGGGGCGGGGGGTGCGGACACGGGGGGCCCCGGCCGCGCGTGTCCCCTCTTGTCCCCGCCATGTCGCCTCGGCGCGGCGTGTCCGTGTGTGCGTGTCCGTGCCCGTGTGCGTGTGCGCAGCCCCCGGGGGTGCGGGTCCGCCCGCGCCTCCCCGCCGCTCCGGGCCGTACCGGGCCGTTCCCGCCGCCGCCGCTGCGCCTTTAAGGCCGCTGGCCGGGAGCGCCCGGGAGCGGATCCGGGCGGGGGGGGGGGGGGGGGGGGGGGGGGGGGGGGGGGGGGGGGGGGGGGGGGGGGGGGGGGGGGGGGGGCGGGCACCGGCCGGGGCGGGCCGGGGCTGCGCGGCCGCGACCGGGACCGGGGCCGCCACCGCCACCGGGGGCCCGGCCTGGGCGCGGGATGGGGCGGCGGGGACGCGGCGCGGCCGCCGTGTAGGAGCGGGCGGCGGCGGGGCCGTGGCGGGGCGCGGGGCCCCGCGGGCGGCGGCGCCGGAGGCGGAGGTGAGCGGGGCCGACCGGGAGCGGCGGCGGGAGGGAGGGGGGGCCGGATCGGGGCGACGGCGGGGACCGCGATCGGGACCGGGACTAGGATTGGGACTGGGACTGGGATTAGGGCGGGGGAGGGCGACACCGGGCTGGGCCCCGGGGCGGCGGGAGCGGTGCGGCGCCGGGGGGGCTGTGCGGTGCTCGGCGGGGGGGTCCCGGTGCGGCCGGAGCTGTCGGTGCGGCGGGAGCGGCCGGTGCGGCGGCGGGAGGGCGCTGGCGGGTCCTGATGAACGGGCCGGGCTCGGCGGGGCTTCCGTGCCCGGAGCGGGGAGGGAGGGAGCGAGGGAGGGAGGGACGGAGAGAGGCAACCGCCGCCACCGGGGCCGGCCCTTCCCGGTGTCCGTTCCCCACCGCCGCTCGCCCGCTCCTACCGGGGCCGGCTGGGACCGGGCTGCCACGTCCCGGCTGGTTCCCGGTGCCCCGGGGCGGCCGTGCCCGGTGCAGCTCCTTGGCCGCCGTTCAAGACAAACAGGGCCGGGACGCCCGGGTCGGTCCCAGCTTTGTCGCAGGTCGCTGCGCCGGGGAGGGCGGGCTCGGGGCGGCCTCGGCAGGGCCACGCACCGGGACACCGGGAAACCGGGAACCCAGCACCGGGATACTGGCACCGAGCACCGGCCACCCGGCTCTGGGCACCGGGGGTTCTGGCACCGGCAACGCAGCACCGGCCGTTCCCACGGGGGCCATGAAGGTGGTGGGAGAGCTGGGACTTGGGGTCTGCACCCTCCAGGGTGGAGCGGGACGCAGGACGCTCTGCCCCTTGTGAGGCCTCGCAGCCCCGTGAGCTCCGGGGTCCCGCTGGGGGTGTCAGGGCGGGGGCCTGAGCGCTGACCCCCGCCCCGGTGCCCGCAGCATGTCGTGGTTCAGCGGCATCCTGGTGCCCAAGGTGGACGAGCGGAAGACGGCATGGGGGGAGCGCAACGGCAAGAAGGGCCCCCGGCCCCGCGCCGGCCTCTGCGGCCCCCGCTACATGAGCTGCCTGCAGGACCCTGAGATGGAGAGGGGCGCGGGACCCCCCCGGGGAATGCGCTGCACCTGGCAGGAGGACCACTACGGCAAGAAGGGGCCCGCGGGCGACCTGGGACTCAAATCGGTGGACGCGGCCCTGGAGGACGGCGAGGCCAAGGGCCCGAAGGGGGTCGGGGGACACGAGGGGCGGCCGTCGGCCGGCGAGTGCTGGCGGCGGCTGCTCCAGGTTTTCCGCTCCAAGCGCTTCCAGTCGGCCAAACTGGAGCGGCTCTACCAACGCTACTTCTTCCAGATGAACCAGAGCAGCCTGACGGTGCTGATGGGGGTGCTGGTGCTGGTCTGCGGGGTGATGCTGCTCTTCCTCTGCCTGCCCGGCGCCCCGCACGTGCCGGCGGTGGCGGCGCTGGCCGGGGCCACGGCCCTGTTCCTGCTCCTCATGGTGCTGTGCAGCCGCAGCGCCTTCCCCCAGGACTACATGTGGGTGGTGAGCTACGTGGTGCTGGGGCTGCTGGCCGGGGTGCAGGCGCTGGGGACGGTGGCCGTGTCCCCCCGGAGCGCGGCCGAGGGCGTCTGGTGGAGCGTCTTCTTCATCTACATCACGTACACGCTGCTGCCGGTGCGGATGAGGGCGGCCGTGCTGGCCGGGGTCCTGCTCTCCGCCCTGCACCTCGCCATCGCCTGGCACCGCAACGCCGCCGACCCCTTCCTCTGGAAGCAGGTAGGGCAGAGGACACACACACACACACACACACACACACACACACAGGGAGGGGGGCTGCGCCCGGAGGGTCCTGCCCGCCTGGGGGTACCCCCCTCTTGGGACCCGGCAGCTCCCCGAGTCCCTTCCTGCAACACTGGGGTGGTTTTGCACTTGATGGCGGAAAATTCTGGACGTGGGAGGGGCCCCTTGGCTGCAGGTCCCGGGGAAGGTCCCATGCCAGGGGCCTGTGGCGTGACCAGGGGTCTCTCTGCTGCCGCAGCCCCCGTGGGGCAGGAGGGGCCCCTCGTCCTGGCACAGACCCACCATTGTGGGCTGCACCAGGGGAGGGGGGGCACCCACAAAGCCCCTGTTGTGGGGTTGGCGGAAATCCCTGAGGAGGGGACGCAGGGCCAGGGCATCGGGGCGGGGAGGGGGCTGTATCCCAGGGGTGCTGGGATGCTGGCAGTGTCCCCTGTCCTGCCCCTCTGGGGTGCTGGGTGCTGCCAACAGGGTGCTGTGGGCACAGAGGAGTCCCCCACCCCAGGGCTGGGTGTTCCCAGCCCCGGCAGCCCCTTGCTGTGCTCCCCCTCCTTGCACGGGGCCGCTCGTCACCGTCACCCTCGCCCTGCCTGGCCGGGGCCTGGCCCACGTGCCATCCCTGTGGGGCACAGGGTGAGGAACGCGATGACGGGGGGATCCGAGGCCAGCGGGGCTTTGGGGGTCACGGGAGGGGCAGCCCCTCTGGGTGAGGTTCACCCCCGCAGGGTGGGAGCGATGGGGCTTCCAGAGGGATCTGAGGGGGCTGGGGGGGTGCGAGGCCCCCCCCCTCAGTGTGTTGGAGAGCTATAAATAGCTCTGGCTCCGATCCCAGGGGACTGGGACAGGGGGGAAACCGCAGCTCCCACTGCAGCCATCTCTGCTTCCCGACTTCCTCCGCTTCCAGAGGGTGTCCTCATGACCCACCCTGCTCCAGGTCCCCGTGTCCCCCTTGCCCTGGGTTCCTGCATCGTTATATCCCCCCTTGTCTGGTTTCCTCCATCCCCATGGCCCCCTGTTCCCCCTGTCCCCTGTGTCCCCAGGTCCTTGCATCTCCACATCCCCCTGCCTTGGGTCCACATATCCCCTGCTGCCCCACATCCCCTCTTTGCTGCTCTTAACAGCACCCCCCCCATACCAGAGACAGGGTTTTTGGGGTGCAGAGCTGGCTGGGGGGGGTGTGTGTCACACTGAGCCGACCTCCCCCCCCCCCCAGCTCAGCGCCAACGCCCTGATCTTCCTCTGCACCAACGTGGTGGGGGTCTGCACCCACTACCCTGCCGAGGTGTCGCAGCGTCAGGCCTTCCAGGAGACCCGCGGCTACATCCAGGCACGGCTGCACCTCCAGCGGGAGAACCGGCAGCAGGTGGGATGGGGGGTCCCTGTGCCGGGCTGGGGGGGGGTCCCAGAGGTCTCAGCCCCTCCCCTGATGATGCTGCTGCGGGTGCAGGAGCGGCTGCTGCTCTCGGTGCTGCCGCAGCACGTGGCCATGGAGATGAAGGAGGACATCAACACCAAGAAGGAGGACATGATGTTCCACAAGATCTACATCCAGAAGCACGACAACGTCAGGTACCGTGGGGGACGGGGGTGCGGGCGAGGTTTTGGGGGTGTCAGCAGGGGAGGGGGGGGCCCAGGGGGGGTGTGTGGACCCTCCCCAGCCCACACTCTTCCTCCTGGCAGCATCCTCTTCGCGGACATCGAGGGCTTCACCAGCCTGGCCTCGCAGTGCACGGCCCAGGAGCTGGTCATGACGCTCAACGAGCTCTTCGCCCGCTTCGACAAGCTGGCGGCGGTGAGTGGAGGGGCTGGGGGAGGGGGGGGGGTTTGGGGTGTTCCCTGAGCCCCCCTGACCTGCCTGTGCCCCCCAGGAGAACCACTGCCTGCGCATCAAGATCCTGGGGGACTGTTACTACTGCGTGTCGGGGCTGCCCGAGGCGCGGGGGGACCACGCCCACTGCTGCGTGGAGATGGGGGTCGACATGATCGAGGCCATCTCGTGAGTGGGGGCAGAGCTTGGGGGGGTGCTGTGCCTGTCCCCCAGGGCCCATCCCTGGTGCTGGCACGTCCCCGGTGCCACTGCAGTGCCGGGGGTGGGGGGGGGCTGTGCCCATTCCTGGTGCTGGCGCTCCCCCAGTCTGGGCCGTGGGGCCTGGGGGGTGTCACGGTGTGACTGGGGGTGCCCTGGGGGCGCCCAGGGGTGACGTGGCGCCCGTGCCATCCGCAGGCTGGTGCGTGAGGTGACGGGGGTGAACGTGAACATGCGCGTGGGCATCCACAGCGGGCGGGTGCACTGCGGGGTCCTGGGGCTGCGCAAGTGGCAGTTCGATGTCTGGTCCAACGACGTCACCCTCGCCAACCACATGGAAGCGGGAGGCAAAGCTGGGTGAGCCGGGGCGGGGAAGGGGCTGGACTGGGGGGGCAGGGGGTGTGGAGCAGGGCGGGGGGGGGGCTCACATCCTGCCTCCCCAGGCGCATCCACATCACCTGGGCGACGCTGCAGTACCTGAACGGCGACTACGAGGTGGAGCCGGGGCACGGGGGCGAGCGCAACGCCTACCTCAAGGAGCACAACATCGAGACCTTCCTCATCGTGGGCTGCAGCCAGAAGCGCGTGAGTCTGCGTGGGGAAGGTTGCGGGGAGGGGGTCCCAGGGGGGGTGGGAGAGCCGGGGTTTCCCCTCCCCCGCCACCTCCCCGCTCCTCACAGCCCCGTGTCCCCCCGCAGAAGGAGGAGAAGGCCATCCTGGCCAAGCTGCAGCGCGCTCGTGCCAACTCCACCGAGGGGCTGGTGCCGCGCTGGGTGCCCGAGCGCTCCTTCTCCCGCACCAAGGACTCCAAGGCCTTCCGGCAGATGGTGAGTGGCCTCGGGGGGGTGGTATTGGGCACGGGGGGGACCCCACCGCAGCGGTATCGGCTGCTCGCTGCCCTTCCGGGGCTGCCCGTGGCTTCCCCAGCCCTGCCCGTGGATCTTGTGGCTTCCTCCTGCTCCCTGCAGGCCTCGGGGGAGCCTGGGGTGCCACCCCATCCTCAGCAGACCTTGGGGATCCCCCCTGTCCTCATCAGCCCATGGGGACCCCCCCAGTGTCTCCCCCATCCTCAACAGACCTCAGGGATCCCCCCTGTCCTCACCAGCCTTGGGGACCACTGGTGTCAGACGTCACCCCCAGACCCCTCCCTCCTCCCTCTGCAGACCCTTGGGGACCCTCCCCCCACCATCCTGGTGACCCCTGGGACTCCGTCCCCCATCCTGGGTGACCCTGGGGGATGCCCCATGTCCCTGTCATCCGTGGGGGGGCCCCCCCATCCGTGCCAGTGTCCCTGACACCCCCATCTCCTTGTGTCTCCCAGGGCATCGATGACTCCAGCAAGGACAAGTAAGTGTCCCCATGCCAGGGCACCCCGGGGGGGCACGGCTGGGCCCTTCCCTGGGGCAGAGACAGGGGTCTTGGGGGATCCTGACCCCTCTGTGTCCCCAGCCGAGGTGCCCAGGAGGCCCTGAACCCCGAGGACGAGGTGGACGAGTTCCTGAGCCGGGCCATCGACGCCCGCAGCATCGACCAGCTCCGCAAGGACCATGTCAAGAAGTTCCTGCTCACCTTCCAGACGCCTGAGCTGGAGAAGAAGGTGAGAGGCCCTCTGTCCCCTCTGCCCCAGCCCTGAGGGCCACCTCTGTCCTCTGAAGTCCCCTCAGTTCTGGCCCCATCAGCACCTTTGTCCCTCCCATCAGCACCTTTGTCCCTCCCATCTCACCTTCATCCCCTGGCATCTTCTGTGTGCTGGTCCATGGACCCTGCACCTTCTCAACCTCATCCCATCCCATCCCCTGAACCCCTCGGGGACCATCCCATCCCCCAGTTTCCCCCCATCCCATCCCCTGGGGTCCTCCTGTTTCCTCCATCTCATCCTCCAGGTTGCCCCCTGTTTCCTTCCATCCTGTCCACTGGTATCCCCTCAGTCCCCCTCCATCCTTCCCCTGGGGTCCCCCCTGTCCCCCTCCATCCCATCCCATGGGATTCCCCCGTCCCACCTCCCCCTCTCCCCTCAGTACTCCAAGAAGATCGATGACCGTTTCGGTGGCTACGTGGCCTGCACCCTCCTGGTCTTCTGCTTCATCTGCTGCCTCCAGATCCTGGTGTTCCCCCAGTGAGTTCTGCAGCCCCCCAAAAACCCCGGCCCTGGACCCCCCGAGCCCGTCACTCACCCCCCACCTCTCCCCAGCTCCCCGCTGATGCTCGGTGTCTACGTCAGCATCTTCATCCTCCTCGCCGCCATCCTCTTCGTCTGCGCCGTCTACTCCTGCGTCACTGTGAGTGCCGGCCCGAGGGCTGGGGAGGGGCTTTGGGGGGCTCA